ATTTTTATTAAACCCCCCCCCCCCCAGAAAAGAATTACCAACCCCAAACATATGAACAATAGTGTAAATAATATATAAAACGAAATGTATTAATAATTGTAAAATATTTTAACATATTTACTAGTGCTGTCAAAAAATTAATCACGATTAATCGCCTCCAAAATAAGTTTTTGTTTACATAATGTGTGTGTACTTGAAAATATTTACATGTATATATTTATATTACAGAAATATATTTCATATATAAACATAACATATTTTTCTTAAATATATACATGCATGTGTGTGTATTTATATAGACATAATAAATATACACAGTACACACACACACACATATATTATGTAAACAAAAACGTATTTTGGATGTGATTAATCGTTTGACAGCACTAATATTTACTAAATAATAAAAATAAGTAAATATATATATTTTATCAAATATTTTACAAAAACTTAACCAATTTTCACTTAAATGGATAGTTCAACTAAAAATAAAATTTCTGTCATTAATTAATGACAGAATTTTCATTTTTGGGTGAACTATCCCTTTAAAAGCTATTAGGTACAGTTACAAGACTTGAATGCTCAATTGGTCATCATTATCAGACGTCAGGACTTGAACTATACATTAACTATACAAATAATTTTATTTAAAAAAAAGAGTAAATAACTTTTTTGGGGGGGTTTTTTAATCATTTACATTCGTTTTAAAAAATAGTTTCATATAAACTCATGAACGGTCTTGCAGTTCCATCATTAACCACTAGGGGATTGCAAAGCCTCAGTTGGGAAATGCTGGACTGAACAATTCTGTGCAGCTTCACTAACGTATCAGCAGTGAATCAGACACTCACCCTGTCATCACTGATCTTGAGCACTTTGGTAAGGAAGAGCAGCAGCAGGTTAGTCCAGGCCTCGCGGTGGCTCTCAGATGTCAGGGTCAGGAAGTAAGCCACAGCGTCACTGCACACGCTAACAAACAGAAAAAGAGACTGCGTTTTAGCACAGAGGATTTCAATATTCCACAAACATCTTGAATACAGCCTTAGTGACCTCTGATAGGCTCCTCCCCTCATATGTTTTATATAACCCCCATCTGCCCTGCGACTTCCTTCACTCATCATGACCTAATCTCACCGAAATCCCCTTTAGCCTGGTTAAGCAGGTCTGCAGGACTGAACACAGCCAATGACTAGTGTCTCTGACAGTCTTCCTGCAGACAAGGAAGTCAGAGTCTGACCTGGCCTCTTTCTCATGATTGCACGCTATTAGCAGTGAAGTCTGAGAGTCGGGGACACGTGTGCTAAATGCTAAATGGAAGCGCACAGGTCTGAGACTCCGGGATAGAGTGAAATTAGTGCTCAGTGTAGTCCGTGTCTCGTTTTAAAGCTTAATTTGTTAGCGCTAATGTTTGTTACTCAACTAATCTAACAAAACGATGCCCTAATGGTGCATGAAACTCTCTTTCTCTGTTGGATCCACGCCAGAGCACCAATCGCAATTCAATAAAGCAAACCCACACTCCCCCTTCAGGATGTGACCTTTGTCCAGCATAAAAATGAACAAATTGGAATGAGGAACCAACATGGCTTTTAATGCGCTGCTCTTCTGAAGTCTAAGTGTTTTTAGATTCTAAACATTACTACAGTTGAAGTCTTTATTTGACTCTAACTGCAAAACATCCTGTGAGTTTATCTATTAGGATCCTACTGGGCATTATTTTGAACAGAATCCTAATTATTATATTGGAACAGTCTTGTTCCTTGTTGTCTATCCTGTTTTACCCGGAAACTTGTCACATGATGGTAGTAAAATAGCGAATGCCATTTCATGTTGTCGTGGGACACACAAGTGTGTGTGTGAAAGTGTTTTATTATTAACAAACACATACCAAGATGCTTAAAGACAGAAACTTAGGTAGAACATATTATATCCCTCCCTTTTTATAAAATATCCAAAATACTTAAATTTATGCTACAGCCATGAAGACGCATTTGCTACTTGCCATTACTAGTTGGTGGCATGTGTTTGGATATATTTTGGATGTAGTATATTTGGATATAATTTGAATATACAAGCAAGTGCAGAATGTGTCATCAATATTTTTGGTCTATTTATCCAGAATAGAAAGTACTTTTAAAAAAAAAAAAAAAAATTTTTTTTAGATTTTTTATTGTGTGTGTATTTCATGTAAATATATTTATTTGAAAGCTGTATTTTAAAAAAAATATTATTACAATTTAAAGTAATTGTAACTTTTCTATTTTAATATAATTTAAAATGTATACTATAGAAATAAAACTATAGAATCCCGTTTCTGCCACTGAGTAAAGAATAAAACTTTTTATCTCACAATTCTGAATT